GCGGAGGGAGAAACGCCCCCGCCTGAAAAAGCGCTCTGGTCCCGCGGCGCTCGTGTCGGAGTGGGCGAAAACTCCCCCCCCGCGCTGGGCTCTTTGTTTACTCACTGTTTGCCGGCTGACTCCTGCAGGCACCGCTGCACGCGTGGCTCCCCTCGCGGTGGCGCGGCTTCTTCGCTCCCCCCGCGGCGCGCTTGGGTCGCTCCCGGCGCGGCTGCCAGGGCGACGCGGCTCAGTTCCTGCGGCGGCGGCTCTGATCCCGCGGCGGCTCTACTCTCGGGGCGGCGCGGCTGCTTCCGCGCGGCGGCTCCGCTCTCCTCCCGGGGCGGCGCGGTGCAGCAATCGCTCGCCGCGACTGCTCGCCATGGCGGCGCGCCTGTGTCGAGTTCGGAGTAGCACAGCACCGCAAGCGCCATGAACTGCGGCCGCTGTTTTGCACTCAGAGACGTAGTGAAAAAGTGCACTGTACATCACTAGCTATGGCTTGCTTAGTTTCTTGACAGTTTTATCACCTTCTAAAGCAGCTTTCTACAATAAATCACTGAATTTACGCCATCTCGTTAAGCTGTAAACTTTACGGAAAATTTCTTTATCATAGCTGTAAGTCTAAAGTCTTTTTAAATCTTTTTGTTAATTCATCTCTTTAATTTGCTTTTTTTGCAAGAAAGTAATAAAAAGTTCATATGTGGTTTGCCTTTCCATACCTGTATAAGTGCGCACTTTGCAGCTCTTCAAGGCTTCGGATTGCATGTACTAGCTGAGACTTGTCTATACGGTCGCTCGGGGCCGGCGCGTCTCGGCGGATTTCTTCTGCTTTGTTTATTTGCGCTTATTGCCATTCTGCGGCTGCTTCTCGGAACTTGGAAAAGTTCTCATCTCTTGTGGTGCTCGCATTCTTTACTATTTGTCGGAGATGAAGGGAGAACGACTATCTTTTAATGCATCGAACTCTCTGAAAGCGTTCGCTATCACGTCGGGGTCACCATTGGTTGGAGAATGAGGGGAGAACGACCATCCTATAATGCATCCAACTCAACTTTATTGATCAATCAATCACCTTAAATAACAATGGTAACGAACTTCATGCATATTCTGTAATCCAATTTCATGATAGGCTAACAGAGAAACTCTAACCACTCCTCTTGTTTTAGAATACCTACAATTGTTTATTAGAAACAGAACTAGTGTTCTCAAAACTTCTTCATCAGTTCTCAAGGTGCCAGCTTTTCCCAGAGATGGTGTTCTGCTTGTTATGAGAAGACAGCCTGAGAACTTTATTGTTTATAAAGAGAGTCTAATTGTTTATAGAAATCAGAAGGCTGAGAACTACGTTAAGACTACTTTACTTTTTCCTTTTACTTTTCTCTCAATTGTATGTCTCATGGCCTTTTTCTTTAAGCCATTCTTGAACTAAACTCTCCAACACCGAGACTCTGTGATTCCCACACATAATATGATCCATGAGCTGGAGAGCCAGGGAGTGGTCTGTAAGATCCATTCATGCTTCACCAGTCCCATTTGGCCTGTGTGCAAGTCTGATGGGGAATGGAGATTGACTATGGACTATTGTTGCCTAAATGAATTTACACCATCACTGAGCGCTGCCGTGCTAGACATGCTGGAGCTCCAGGACGAGTTGAAGCCCGAGGCAGTGAAGTGGTATGCCACTATTGATATTGTCAATGCATTTTTCTCCATTCCTCTGGCAGCAGAGTGCAGGCCCCAGTTTGCCTTCACCTGGAGGGGTGTTCAGTACACCAGGAACCGACTGCCCCAGGGGTGGAAACACAGCCCCACCATCTGCCATGGACTGATCCAGGTTGCACTGGAGAAGAGTAAGGCTCCAGAACATCTGCAGTACATTGATGACATCATTGTATGAGGGAACATGGCAGGAGAGGTTTATGAGAAAGGAGAGAGAATAATCCAATCTGAAAGCAGGTTTTGCTATCAAATGAAGTAATGTCAAGGGGCCTGCCCAGGAAATTAATTTCCTACGGGTGAAGTGGCAAAATGGAAGCAGACAAATGCCAACAGATATGATTAATAAGAGAAGTGCTATGTCCCCACTGACCAGCAAGAAAGAAACACAAGCTCTCCTAGGTACTGTGGGCTTTTGGAGAATGCACATCCTGGAATACAGCCAGATTGTTAGACCTCTCAATCTCATGACACAAAAGAAAAATTATTTTGACTGGAGCCATGAGCAACAGCAAGCTTTTGAGCAGATCAAGCACAAGATTGTCCATGCAGTAGCACTTGGGCCTGTCAGGACAAGACAGGATGTGAAGAATGTGCTCTATATTACAGCCACAGAGAATGGTCCTTCCTTGAGTCTCTGGCAGAAGGGACCTGGGAAGAACCTGAGGCTGACCTCTTGGGTTTTGGAGTCATGCATACAGAATCTGAGGCCAGGTATATCCCAATGGAGGAAGACATTATTGCAGCTTATGAAGGGATTTAAGCTGCCTCAGAAGTATTGGCACTGAAACACAGCTCCTTCTGGTACCCTGACTACCAGTGCTGGGCTGGATATTTAAAGGAAAGGTCCCTGCAATACATCATGCCACAGATGCTGCCTGGAGTAAATGGATCACCCTCATCACAGTGGACTCAAATAGGAAACCCAAATTGACCTGGGATCTTGGCAGTCATCGCAAACTGGTCCAAAGGCGAGAACTTTGGATTATCATCAGAAGGGGAAGAACAGGTGACATGTGCTGAGCAAGCCCCACCATATAACCAGCGATGTGAAAGTAAAGGATGGTACATCCTCTTCACTGATGGATCGTGCTGTATTGTAGGGACTAGTAGGAAATGGAAAGGGGCTGTATGGAGCCCTATGTTGTGAGTTGCAGAAGCTACTGAAGGACAAGGTGGATCCAGTCAGATTGCAGAGTTGAAAATAGTTCAGCTGGCTTTGGACATTGCTGTGTAAGAGAAGTGGCCAACACTCTCCCTCTACACTGACTGGTGGAGGGTAGCAAACAGTCTGGGGATGGCTGGAAAGGTGGAAAAAGGCCAAACAGGCCAAACACGGTGTAGAGAAAAACCACTCTGGGCTGCTGAAGAATGGGAAGACATCAGTGCCTGGGTAGAGAAGCTGACTGTTAAAATCTGTCATGTAGATGTCCCCATGCTGAAGAGTCAGGCAACAATGAACAGGTGGATCAAGCTACAAAATCAAAATGTTACAGATAAATTTGGATAGGCAACACAAGTTGTTCCTAGCTAAATAGGCCCATGATGCCTCAGAACAGCAGGGCAGAGAGGCTACCTAAGAGCAGGCACAAGACTAAGAAGAGGATTTAACCATGGACAGTCTTCCAGATTATCCATGATTGTGAGATGTGCTGATAGGACAAGGGGAAATGGCTTTTCAGTGATGGAGTGTAGCTTTGTACACGTCTTCCCAAAGGAGTTGCAGGATGCCCTATCGTTTATTTTTTTCTCCCAACATGAATATTCTGGATGTTAGGAAAATTAATCCACAAACGTCAGAGGTTTATGTCCAAAAAGAAGACAGAGGAGTTCTTTTACTTTATTCGAATAAAGGGAGAGGCCATGGGGCATTCCCCTGGGATCTCTCAAATTTTTGGAGGACGCAGCCTCTCTTTTATCATAATTTCCTGGCCGCATTTCCCTTCTCTCTTTCCCCATTGACTGAAGTACTTGAAAGGTACAGACTTCCCGATATGCCTGATACCAAAGATTTCCCTCTAATGTGTAACACTCCCTTTTCATTTTTAATTCCAATGGAATTAAGGGGGTTTTCTTCCACATTGCTTCTTTCATCTTTCAATGTTTAATATCATTTATCAGCAAACCTAAAGTTTATTTGCAAAAGCAAATATATTTTTCCATTCATCAATCAGTGGAATCCTTTCCATTGTTTCTTTTATCTCCCAGTGCTAGTTTTATCTACCAGAAGACACACAGCTTGTTTATAAAGACAAATCCACTATTCCTCTCATGAGGTTGAATATATGGGTATAAAATCTTGGGGTGAATTGGCACGGCATGTAGACGATTTATTAATTAGCAAGTTAAGAAAGTCCTTTCCCTTCCTGTGGTGATGAGGTGCAGCCCTCAGGCAAACCAGCACACCAAGCTGCAGTTTGTGTCTCTGCAGCTGGCTCTTTGATTGCTCCTTCCCTCCATTGCCATGCTTATACAGCCCTCTCATCTTCCACAACTCCCCCCCTTTCCCTGCCCTCGTCTCCTCCCAAATATGGAGCCAAGCCCAGGCATCATTTCCCCCTGGCTCGCAGGCTGGCCATGCCTGTGAACAGCCTTGGTGTTGCAGGTGGTGTTGGCCCACTCACCTTGGCCTTCCACGGCATTCCTGACGCACTTTCCTAGGGTTCCTGCCAGGTTCCTCTCCCCAGAATGACCCCAGCTCTTCCTCTGAGTATCTGTGGAGTGTGACCACCTGGCACCTCAATTCCCCTTTGCTGCCTGTGAAATCTGGCTCTGCCTTAGGGCACTGGCACTCCAGTCAGGAGCCAGGAGTTTCCCTTGTCATGCTTGGGAGTTTCCCAGATGTGTTCCCTTAGCCCAGGCTCTCACCAGGCCCTAAATTAGCAGCCCATGTGCATTGCAGCACCACCCCCCAATGTATCTGCTTTTTTCCTATCCTCTTCCAAGGCTTGAGGTAGCAGGTTCCTCCAGGCCATGGTGGCTCAGAGCACTGTCCTCTCTGACCAGGCACTTTGGAGCTCATTGGAGCCACTGTGTCCCTTTGTGCCCCCAGGCTTGTTGTGCAGGTGTGGAATATTGAAGTCTTTACCTTGCCCAGGAATCAGAATTCAGTCAAAAAGATGGTTCCCTGTGATGATTGGCAACTTTACTTCAACCACTAGAGGAGATGAGTGTGGTCAGGACAGAGCAGTGTTTTGACCCTGAGGCTGCCTTTGGATCAGCAGGCATTGCCCCGCAGAAAACACTTGCTGTGCACTGCAGCACGCCAAAGAGGCTGCCCATTCTTGTGCTCAAAAAGCTCTTTAAATGTTCTCTGCGTTCATATGGGCCAGAATCCAGTCATAGAACTGCTGAGTGGAGGTATAGACTCCCGGCCGCCTTGCTCTGCCACAGCTTTTTCCCCAGCTGGTCACTCCAACAACCCACCAGTAGTCAGCATGTTTGTCTTGGCACATGAGAGGACCACCGCTGTCACCCTGCAGCAGAGCACAGAGGATTCAGGTGGTTATGGGTGGCTCCTGTCAGCACAGGGGCTGTCTCCTTCTCTCGCACAGCCAGAACTTTCTTCAGGTGCTGGAGCCTCCAGAAGCTTGGCTGTGAATGGCTTGGGGTCCTGTAGGGTAGAGCTCTCTCTGTCCTCTCTGCACAGGACTCGTGGATGTGCAGAGGATGGAACTTTGGCACGTGGACCTCTTCACTGGCAAGAGCACTAGCTGGGCTTTCTGGGCTTTCTGGCACAAGGGGAGGCCTGGGCAGGCAGGTGTGGATGGGCAGTGTGTGGGAAGCCCCCACAGCAGTCAGGGGGAGCTGGGGCTGGGAGGGTGACTGAGTGGCCGGGCAAAGCAGGCCCTGGGCTGTGTTGGGGTGGTGCTTCCCTGGCTGCTGGTGCTGCTGGGGGCTGAGTGGCTTGTGGCACGTTCCTACCTGGCAGGTGTCGATGCCACCCTGTGGGTAACCAGCACACAAGTTGTGGGTGTGGATTTTCCCTGAGTTCCAGAAGGTGCTGTTACACAGCTGGGTATTGATGAGCTGGACCTTGGCCTCCTGCAGGTGATCACTTGGAGTTTTATCTGTGAGCATAGAAAGAAACAAGCCCCCAGCAGCTCCTTCCCAGTCCTTCTTCCTTGTCTGTGGATGATCCCCTTCTGTAGGGCATAGCTTTGCCTCTACAGAGGTATGGGGTGCTGTGACCCTGTTGCCAGCCTTTGAGGAGCAGGCCAGGCCCATCTCTGCAGAGGTGTACTTCCTGTTTCCTGGCTTTGGCCTCTGCTATGGGGAAGCCCAAACCATCTCCTCAACGTGCTGAGCTGGCTCTGGAGTCCCTCTTGAGAACTCACCTTTTGCAGTGGTGGCACCCCAACCAGCAATCCAGCAGTTGCGCTCCTGTGCCACTGACAACCCTAAGATAGCATCGGCCACACAGGCCAGCTGGACGTAGGGGCTGCAGTCAACAGGCTTGTTCAGTTCCATCAAGGCAATGTCATTGCTCATGTCACGTCTCTTATAGTTTTCATGACGTATTAACTTCTTCATTTGGCGGACTTGTGCCCCAGGGCCTGGCTGAGTCAACTGGGTGGCCCCAATCACCACGTACACCAAGCTGCTGTTACTGAAAGGCAGATGGAGAGAGAGCTGAGAGGGAGCAGAGCCATGTGCCACAGCAGCCCAGCAGATGCTAGATCTTGGCTTGGAAAGGCACAGAGGGAGGAGTGCTCTGGCAGGTGCCCTTGCACATCTTAGGCTGGGGGAAGGTCAAGCTGGAGTCTGCTAGGAAGCCTTGGCATGAGCCCAGGCTTCTCCTGAGCACTGTGGCAGCCTGGCTGCCTGAGAGGAAAGGGGATGGGAATAGCAGGTGGTGCTGCTCACAGGGCACCTGCTGGTGTTTTGGGTATGTCCCTATTCCCTGCCCCTTCTTACAAAATGAGGTCAAAGCAGTGGGCAGCTGTGAGGACCCAATCTGCCCTGATGAGGGACCCTCCACAGAAATGCTTTGTGCCTGGTATGCTCGGATGCTGGATGCTGACCATCCACGGCCAGGCCCCTGGCTTGGCATCTGCACCACCCACGACACGTGTCATGCTGTCATCATGAGGTATGGAGTCAGACACCATGGGTCGGAGGCCGCAAGTCCATCTGCAAGCAGAAAGAAATTTCCATGCTGCTTCATGGCCTGCTGTGGCTCAGGCTGAAGCTCAGCCCTCTGCCCTCCCCACAAGGCCTTGCACGCACAGCAGGCCAGGGAAGGCCATGGGGTGTGTGTCTGTCCGTGCCAGCACCTGGCTGCTAGCAAGGAACTGAGGCTTCCCAAGGTGGGTGGGAAGCTGCGGCCTGGCCATGGGGGACAGGTCAGTCCCCTCCAGTGAAGGCCGGAAGTGTTGCCATGGCTCCTTCCCTGGGCCTAGGGCCACTTACCCGCAGGTGTACTGGCTCTGCGCCAGCCTGGCCATGGTCAGCAGGACGAGGAGGCCAAAATAATCCATGGCTGCCAAGGCATTCCAAGTGCCAGCTGGAAGCTCTGAGGGCTCCGTGCAGCAGCACAGTCACAGCCACACTGCCCGCAGCAGTCGCGCTGCCCGTGGTACCCTCAGCCCCGGGGCTGATGTCATGGAGGGGTGGGTTCTGTACTCTGGGCACTGTGGCCCATGTCAAGGGGGCCCACTGGGGTAGGTGCAATACCAAATCAAAGAGCCATCGAATGGTTTGTGTTGGAAGGAAGCTTGGAGGTCATTGTCTTCCAACGCCCTGCCATCGGCAGGGAGGAATAGCAGTAGGGATCCCAGGGAGGGACTGGGAGGGTCTTGCACTAGACCTGGTTGCCCAGAGTGTCCAGAGCTTGGCTTGAGAACAGTACTTGAACAAACTAATGCAAGTGCCTCAGTTCCCTCACAATCCGGAATTCCTTCTTATGATCTCATCTAAAGCTACCTCTGTCCCTGTAAAGCCATTGTCCCTTGTCCTATCAGGACCTGCCCTTGTAAGAAAGTATGGAGAAATGGCTACATGACAGAGGTCACGTAGACATTCGCTTGTTAGCCGACCAGGAGCTGGGAAAGTACCGAACACAGCTAGTTTGAGTTTTTGCACCTGCAAGATGGCGTGTCCTTGGGCCTAGCTGGGTGTGATGGCAGGTAGACAGAGAGACGTGGGAAATACAGAATGTAGGCCCAAAGGAATGAAGTAGAGTTGATGGTATAGTTTAAACAATAGATCGCTTGGCTTAGAGAATATTCATAAGCTTATTATTTGCTGTATAAGTGTCTGATGCTCTCTTCAATAAACGGAACTTGCTTATGACTCATATTGAGTGTCCTAGTCTCCCCTCACCGACAAATGGCTCATCCCTGACAAAAGCCTCATTCTGCAACAAGAAAGCTCTCTGCTGCTTTCTTAGGCCCCTCTTCCTGCAGGATGAGGCTGTGCAGTCCCTGGGGCAGGCAGCAGCTGAGGAATCCATTTGGGCCAGGGAGCTGGGTGTGCAGCTGCAGTGCCAGCTGCAGATTGAGCTCTGGCTGGCAGGAGCCTGGGAACAGAGGCTGTGAACTGCCCGTGCTTTGCATAACAGAGGGCACAGGGAGCTGTGGCACTGGCCAGGATTTGAATGGACACTGAGCGCTGCAGCAGGAGCTGGTGGCTCTTTATGGAACGTGACATCTGTGAGTCTGCTGGGGGAATCCTGAGGCTGAATGGGTATGGAAACCTGCTCTGACTGGGTGAGAGTGGTGTGGGTAGAGAATCAAACAGGGCAACCATTGGCTCGTTGGAGCCACCTGTGCTTCCAAAATGGTCACCCAGGGGAGTTTCCTCAGCACTTTGGCAGCCCAGATGGGACCTTAGAGCCTCGCTCTTCCAAAGATGCAATTGCTGGCAGCAGGCTGGGATCTTTAGAGTAGGAAGGAGCCAAATGGGAGTGTTACAATTTTGTGTGTAGACTCTGTGTAAATTATAAGGGTGTATTTGAGCCTCTCTATTGTTGTGGCATTTGGTGCAGATTTGGTGAAATCACTGGTAGAGGGTGGAGAAGGCATGCACAGCATGATCAGTGTAAGGCAGCCACAGAGGAGTTGTGGAGACCCCCATAAGGTATGAGGTGGGGGGCCCTGAGTCTCTGCTAGGATAGTCAAGTCTCTGCTCAAAGGGTTTTGGAGACAGGCAGAGGGAGAGCCTTGTGTCCCTCGTGCCAGGGTGCTAGTGCCCCTGGGCTCACACAGAAGGGTTTGAAAGCCCCTTTTTGGCATGAAAAAGGAGTTTCATATTCCTAGTGATGTTGACATGATGAGAAATATTCTTGTTGTAGTTCAGAGGACACCTGTGGCTGAGCTTGTGTAACATTGATAGAAATTCTTATGGGCAGAATTTTGCCAAGACAGCACAGTAAAGTTGTGCCAGGGCAATAGGTTGATTCTAAGCTGGTCTGCTCACTGGGCAGGGTAATGGCCTTCTGCTGCCCTGAGTGACACTCTTGCACTCAGTGTCTTTAGTGAGCCGGCAGCCCCTAACTCAAGTCAGGGTGGCAGGGACCAGTACAGATGTTGGATGGTTCTTCTCAGCAAAGCCCATCTTGATTAACACAAAGGGAAGAGTGCCGCCTGCTGTGAGGCAGGACTCCATTGGCCTGGAAGCCAAGAGAATGTAGCTGGCACGTGTCTTCCCCAAGGCATTCCAAGATTCTCTACCATTCCACCCCACCTTGCTCCCTGCAGCCCTCATTATCAAAATTTGATTGAAAGGATTTAGAATTAGGGCACAAATGTGTACAGTTTGTAGATGATTTGTTAATTAGCAAGTGGAGAAAAGAAATTTCTTGCCCATCCTGTGGTGATTATCTACAGCTCTCAGGCAAACCAGCATACCAAGCTGCAGTTTGTGTCCCTGCAACTGGCTCATTGATTGCTCCTTCCCTCCATTGCCATGCTTATACAGCCCTCTCAACTTCCACAACTCCTCCCTTTCCCTGCCCTCGTCTCCTCCCAAATATGGAGACAAGCCCAGGCATCATTTCCCCCGGCTCACAGGCTGGCCATGTCTGTGAACAGCCTTGGTGTTGCAGGTGGTGTTGGCCCGCTCACCTTGGCCTTCCACGGCATTCCTGATGCACTTTCCTAGGGTTCCTGCCAGGTTCCTCTCCCCAGAATGACCCCAACTCTTCCTTTGAGTATCTGTGGAGTGTGACCACCTGGCACCTCAATTCCCCTTTGCTGCCTGTGAAATCTGGCTCTGCCTTAGGGCACTGGCACTCCAGTCAGGAGCCAGGAGTTTCCCTTGTCATGCTTGGGAGTTTCCCAGATGTGTTCCCTTAGCCCAGGCTCTCACCAGGCCCTAAATTAGCAGCCCATGTGCATTGCAGCACCACCCCCAATGTATCCGCTTTTTTCCTATCCTCTTCCAAGGCTTGAGGTAGCAGGTTCCTCCAGGCCGTGGTGGCTCAGAGCACTGTCCTCTCTGACCAGGCACTTTGGAGCTCATTGGAGCCACTGTGTCCCTTTGTGCTCCCAGACTTGTTGTGCAGGTGTGGAATATTGAAGTCTTTACCTTGCCCAGGAATCAGAATTCAGTCAAAAAGATGGTTCCCTGTGATGACTGGCAACTTTACTTCAACCACTAGAGGAGAGGAGTGTGGTCAGGACAGAGCAGTGTTTTGACCCTGAGGCTGCCTTTGGATCAGCAGGCATTGCCCCGCAGAAAACACTTGCTGTGCACTGCAGCACGCCATGAAGGATGCCCAAAAAGCCTCCTTTTTGAGCATCCTTGTGCTCAAAAAACTCTTTAAACGTTCTCTGCGTCCATATGGGCCAGAATCCAGTCATAGAAGTACTGAGTGGAGGTGTAGATTCCAGGCCGCTTTGCTCTGGCACAGCCTCTTCCCCAGCTGGTCACTCCAACAACCCAGAAGAAGTCGCTGTCTTTCTCCTGGCACATGAGAGGACCACCGCTGTCACCCTGCAGCAGAGCACGGAGGATTCAGGTGGTTATGGGTGGCTCCTGTCAGCACAGGGGCTGTCTCCTTCTCTCGCACAGCCCCTGCCAGAGCTGTATCCAGGCACTTGAGCCTCCAGAAATCTAAGTGCAAGTGGCTTGGGGTCCTGTAGGGTAGGGCTTTCTTTGTCCACTCTGCACAGGGCTTCTGGAGGTGAAGAGGATGGACATTTGGCACCTGGACCTCTGGGCTACAAGGAGCATTAGCTGGGCTTTCTTGGCTTTCTGTCACAAGGGGAGGCCTGGGCAGGCAGGTGTGGATGGGCAGTGTGTGGGAAGCCCCCACAGCAGTCAGGGGGAGCTGGGGCTGGGAGGGTGACTGAGTGGCCGGGCAAAGCAGGCCCTGGGCTGTGTTGGGGTGGTGCTTCCCTGGCTGCTGGTGCTGCTGGGGGCTGAGTGGCTCGTGGCACGTTCCTACCTGGCAGGTGTCGATGCGGCCCTGTGGGTAACCAGCACACACATTGTGGGCGTGGACCTTCCCTGCGTACCAGCCAGTGCTGTTGCAGAGCTGGATATCGATGAGCTGGACCTTGGCCTCTTGCAGGACATCACTTGAGTTTTGAGCTGTGAGCAGAGAAACAAATGATAACCCTGTAGGTACTTGCCAATCCTGCTCTGCTGCTTTAGGGGGATCTCCTTTCCCAGGGTTTGGTTTTGCCTCTTCAGAGGCATTGGGGCTCTGTGACCCTGTTGCCAGCCTTTGAGGAGCAGGCCAGGCCCGTATCTGTAGAGGTGTACATCCTGCAGCCTGGGTGTGGCCTCTGCTGTGGGGAAGCCCAAGCCTCCTCCTCAGAGGGCTGAGCTGGCACTGGAGTCTCTCTTGGGAACTCACCTCTTGCAGCAGTAGCACCCCAGCCGGCCACCCAGCAGTTTTGCAGCTCTGACAGGCTTAGGACAGGGTCAGCCACACAGGCCACCTGGACGTAGGGGTTGCAGTCAACAGGCTTGTTCAGTTTCAGCAAGGCAATGTCATTACTTTTGTCACTTGGATTATAGTTTTCGTGACGTATTAACTTCTTAATCCGTCTCAGTTGTGCTCCAGGTCCTGGCTTAGTCAACTGAGTGGCGCCAATCACCAGATACACCACGCCAATTTTCCTGGAAAGTACAAGTAGAGAGGGCTGAGAGGGAGCAGAGCTATTTGCCACAGCAGCCCAGCAGTTGCCAGACCTCTGCTTGGCAAGGCACAGAGGGAGGAGTGCTGTGGCAGGTGTGAGTGCCCTTGCACATCTTAGGCTGGGGGAAAGTCAAGCTGGAGTCTGCTAGGAAGCCTTGGCACGAGCCCAGGCTTCTCCTGAGCACTGTGGCAGCCTGGCTGCCTGAGAGGAAAGGGGATGGGAGTAGCAGGTGGTGCTGCTGGCAGGGCATCTGCTAGTGCTGTGGACATGTCCCCATTTCTGGCATCTCTTTACCTGACAGGGTCAAAGCAGTGGGCTGCTGTGAGAACCCACTCTGCAGTGATGAGAGAGCCTCCACACAGGTGTCTTGTGCCTGGTATTGCAGGATGTTTAAGGCTGACGATCCAGGGCCAGGCCCCTGGCTTGGCATCTGCACCACCCACGACACGTGTAGTACCGTTGTCATGATCCAGGTACTCATACTCATACACCATGGGTCGGAGCCCACATATCCCTCTGCAAGCAGAAAGAAATTTCCATGCTGCTTCATGGCCTGCTGTGGCTCAGGCTGAAGCTCAGCCCTCTGCCCTCCCCACAAGGCCTTGCACGCACAGCAGGCCAGGGAAGGCCATGGGGTGTGTGTCTGTCCGTGCCAGCACCTGGCTGCTGGCAAGGAACTGAGGCCTCCCATGGTGGGTGGGAAGCTGCGGCCTGGCCATGGGGGACAGGTGGCTCCCCTCCAGGGAAGGCCGCAAGCATTGCCATGGCTCCTTCCCTGGGCCTGGGCCCACTTACCCGCAGTTGTCCCATGTCCCGTGCGCCAGCCCGGCCATGGTCAGCAGGACGAAGAGGCCGAGCCAATTCATGTCTGCCAGAGGCATGAGTCAGCTGCAAGCACTGAGAGCTCCGTGCAGCAGCACAGTCATAGCCACACTGCCCGCAGCAGCTGTGCTGCCCGTGGTGCCCTTGGTCCTGGCGCTGATGTCACAGAGCAGGGGGTTCTGTGTTCCGGGTACTATGGGGTTCTGTGGCACCGGGACCCACTGGGGGAGGGGAAAAATGGAATCGGTGAGCCACAAAATGGTTTGGGCTGGAAGGGACCTTGATGATCATTTAGCTACAACTCCCTTGCGTTGGGCACAGAGAGGTGGCCTTCACTAGAACCAGTTGTCCAGAGCCTGGCTCAGAAGTTTGAACACTTTGAGGAATGGGGCATCCACAGGTGCTCTGGGCAACCCGCGCCTTTGCCTCAGTACCATCACAATCAAGATTTCCTTCCTATGATCCCAGCTGAAGCTACCCTTACTGTAGCACTATGTCCCTAACGTGGGAATAATGAGCATTTGACTCCACGATTGCAGAAGGCTGATCAATTGCTTTATTATACTATACTATACTATACTATACTATACTATACTATTAAGAAAAACCCATTGCCCTTGCCAGACTGTCATGACACACCCATGGATCCAATTGGTCAATGCATCCAAAATATCATCACCAGAGTTCAATTAAAAAAATCAGCGTTTGGTAAAAAAATCTCCATAACACATTCCACATGTGCACTACAACATGTGCAGCAAGTGGAGATAAGAATTGTTTCTCATTCTTTTCCCTGAGCTTTCCCACATTTTCCCAGGAAAATACTGGGACAGAGCTATGTCTCTCTATTTAGAGGATATGTGCTTACCAATACCCTCTGTGCCTGTAAAGCCATTGCCCCTTGTCCTATCAGGACCTGCCCTTGTAAGAAGGCTCTCTGCTGCTTTCTTAGGCCCCTCTTCCTGCAGGATGAGGCTGTGCAGTCCCTGGGGCAGGCAGCAGCTGAGGAATCCATTTGGGCCAGGGAGCTGGGTGTGCAGCTGCAGTGCCAGCTGCAGATTGAGCTCTGGCTGGCAGGAGCCTGGGAACAGAGGCTGTGAACTGCCCGTGCTTTGCATAACAGAGGGCACAGGGAGCTGTGGCACTGGCCAGGATTTGAATGGACACTGAGCGCTGCAGCAGGAGCTGGTGGCTCTTTATGGAACGTGACATCTGTGAGTCTGCTGGGGGAATCCTGAGGCTGAATGGGTATGGAAACCTGCTCTGACTGGGTGAGAGTGGTGTGGGTAGAGAATCAAACAGGGCAACCATTGGCTCGTTGGAGCCACCTGTGCTTCCAAAATGGTCACCCAGGGGAGTTTCCTCAGCACTTTGGCAGCCCAGATGGGACCCAAAGGCTGCTGGAGCCTCCGTCCTTCAGAGCAGGTACTGGTGAGGTCACCTGGGATCTTTAGAGCAGGAAGGAGCCAAATGGGAGCGTTACAATTTTGTGTGTAGACTCTGTGTAAATTATAAGGGTGTATTTGAGCCTCTCTATTGTTGTGGCATTTGGTGCAGATTTGGTGAAATCACTGGTAGAGGGTGGAGAAGGCATGCACAGCATGATCAGTGTAAGGCAGCCACAGAGGAGTTATGGAGACCCCTGTAAGACGTGAGGTGGGGGGCCCTGAGTCTCTGCTAGGACACTTGAGTCTCTGTTCAAAGTCTTTTGGAGACAGGCACAGGGAGAGCCTTGTGTTCCTCATGCCACACAATGGGTGCTAGGGTCCCTGGGCACACACAGAAGGGGGTGGAAGTCCCTTCACAAGGGACTCCTTCAGAAAGGGGTTTCACGTGCTTCGAGGTGTTTGATGTGATGGGAAATATCCCTGGTTTATTTAGGGGAAGAGATGCCCGTGGCTGAGGTTGCACAGAACTGGGAGAAATTGTTTGGGCAGCAGAATTTTGCCAGGACAGTACAATAAGGTTGTTCCAGGATGGTTGGGTGGCTCTAAGCTGGTCTGCTCACTGGACAGGGTAATGGCCACCCCCAACCCTGAGTGACACTCTTGCACTTCCCTGGTCTTTAGTGACCAGGCAGCCCCTGAAATTTACTTCAGGAAATATTTGAAGAAGCTTAAGTCAGGGTGGCAGGGACCAGCACAGATGTGGGATGGTTCTTCTCAGCCCAGCCCATCTTGATTAAGACAAATGGAGGAGTGCCACCCACTGTGAGATAGGATTCCATTGGCCTGGTGAGCCAGATTGATTTTTGCCTTTTCTCTTTTATGTATTCTCTGTATTCTTTACACATATATTTGTAGCTCTGTTGTTGTATCTGTGGCGAGTTTTCTCAGTACTTTTCCCTACCTTTTCTCTAAGTAGAAAGACAAAACATATTTCAGACCTCCAAGCCCTGGGGAGTACAAGGCAACTAAACTTATATTTGTTCTTCTTGGAAACCAGAGCTGGAAACAGCTCTTTGAGAGATATTTTCATAAGCAAGGTTTAGTTTCCATCTGAGTGGAAGAGGATTTAGAGAGTGTTGAACTGAGGGAGGAGTTACTTCACCATGTGTGGTCCGAATTAGTGATTTTTGTCAAATATGCTAATTTATTAAGCTTATAAAACTGCATTCACCTCATGTAGGGGAGGAATTCTATGGTCATTTGCCATATCTGCTACTGGAGCCTTTATATTACCTCCTATGTCAAAAGTGTGGTTTTTTATTGTTTTGTTTTAGGTTCTTTAAGGCATCACTTGAAGCCAAGAAGAATATCCAAAGCAGGCGGAGTGACAACCAGCCCAAGGCATTTTGAAGCATTCTATTAGATGGTGAAAGTCAATGTTCACTTGCTTTCACCTGTAAAAGACAGGTGAAAACTGCCTCCAACAAGTCTACCCCATGGCATTCCAGAAGCCTCTACCATCCCCCCTCCCCACCCAAGAATATCAAAGTTTGATTGAAAAGGATATAAAAATTTGGTGCAAATTTGTACAGCTTGTAGATGATTTGTTAATTAGTGAGTTAAGAAGATTCTTTCCCATCCTGTGGTGATTATCTATAGCCCTCAGGCAAACCAGCACAGCAAGCTGCAGTTTGTGTCTCTGCAGCTGGCTCTTTGATTGCTCCTTCCCTCCATTGCCATGCTTATACAGCCCTCTCATCTTCCACAACTCCTCCCTTTCCCTGCCCTTGTCTCCTCCCAGATATGGAGCCAAGCCCAGGCATCATTTCCCCCTGGCTCGCAGGCTGGCCATGCCTGTGAACAGCCTTGGTGTTGCAGGTGGTGTTGGCCCACTCACCTTGGCCTTCCACAGCATTCCTGATGCACTTTCCTAGGGTTCCTGCCAGGTTCCTCTCCCCAGAATGACCCCAGCTCTTCCTCTGAGTATCTGTGGAGTGTGACCACCTGGCTCCTCAATTCCCCTTTGCTGCCTGTGAAATCTGGCTCTGCCTTAGGGCACTGGCACTCCAGTCAGGAGCCAGGAGTTTCCCTTGTCATGCTTGGGAGTTTCCCAGATGTGTTCCCTTAGCCCAGGCTTTCACCAGGCTCTAAATTAGCAGCCCATGTGCATTGCAGCACATGCACCCCAATGTATCAGCTTTTTTCCTATCCTCTTCCAAGGCTTGAGGTAGCAGGTTCCTCCAGGCCATGGTGGCTCAGAGCACTGTCCTCTCTGACCAGGCACTCTGGCTGTGAGTGGCTCTTTGGAGCTACTGTCTCTTTGTACCTGGCACATCTGCCCTCACGCTCATTCTGCAGTTGCCAATTGTGGCAGACCTTACTTTGCCCAGCAGTTGGAATTGCACTGATAAGACGGTTCCCTGTGACCAGAGGCACTTTACTTCAACACCTAAGTAATCTCCAGTGTCTGTGCGCACACAGGAGTGTGGTCAGGATAGAGCAGGGTTTTGACCCTGAGGCTACCTTTGCATTTCCCCAGCAGAAAATACTTGTTGTGCACTGCAATGTGCTTTGGATTCTGCCCATCTTGGGGTTCAGGAAGCACTTCCAAATGGGCTCAGCCCCATCTGGGCCAGAATCCAGTCATAGAAGTGCTGTGTGGAGGTGTAGACTCCAGGCTGCTTTGCTCTGGCACAGCCTCTTCCCCCGACGGTTATTCCGACAACCCACCAGTGGTCAGCGTTGTTGTCCTGGCACATGAGAGGACCACCGCTGTCACCCTGCAGCAGAGCACAGAGGATTAAGGTGGTGTTGGTGGCACCTGCCAGCACAGGGGCTGTCTCCTTCTCTCTCACAGCCCCTGCCAGAGCTGTATTCAGGTGCCTGAGCCTCCAGAAGCTTGGCTGTGAACGGCTTGGGGTCCTGTAAATTAGCGCTCTCTCTGTCCTCTCTGCACAGGACTCGTGGATGTGCAGAGGATGGAACTTTGGCACGTGGACCTCTTCACTGCCAAGAGCACTAGCTGGGCTTTCTGGGCTTTCTGGCACAAGGGGAGGCCTGGGCAGGCAGGTGTGGATGGGCAGTGTGTGGGAAGCCCCCACAGCAGTCAGGGGGAGCTGGGGCTGGGAGGGTGACTGAGTGGCCGGGCAAAGCAGGCCCTGGGCTGTGTTGGGGTGGTGCTTCCCTGGCTGCTGGTGCTGCTGGGGGCTGAGTGGCTCGTGGCACGTTCCTACCTTGCAGGTGCTGATGCCGCCCTCCGGGTAACCAGCACACAAGTTGTGGGTGTGGATCAACCCTCCGTACCAGTCACTGCTGTTGCAGAGCTGGAGATCGATGAGCTGGACCTTGGCCTCCTGCAGCTGATCAATTGAGTCTTCATCTGTGAGCAGAGAAAGTAATGAGCTCCCAGCAGCTCCTTGCCAGTTCTCCCACTCCCCTCTCTGGAGGGGATACCCTTCCCTCGGTTGCTTTGCCTCTGCAGAGGCACTGGGGCTCTGTGACCCTGCTGCCAGCCTTTGGGGAGCAGGCCAGGCCCATCTCTGCAGAGGTGTACATCCTGCAGCCTGGGTACAGCTTCTGCTGTGGGGAAGCCCAAGCTGTCTCCCCAGTGTGCTGAGCTAGTTCTGCAGGCAGGGGTCTCTCTTGGGAACTCACCTTCTTCTGAGGTTAAACCCCAACCAGCAACCCAGCAGTTTTGCAGCTCTGAAACTCTTATGGTGGGGTCAGCCACACAGGCCAACTGGATGTAAGGGCTGCACTGGACAGGCTCATTCAATTCTAGCAAGGCAATATCATTACTTGTATCACTTCTCTTATATTTTTCGTGACGAAATAGCTTCTTAATCTTGCGCACTTGTGCCCCAGGGCCCGGCTGAGTCAACTGGGTGGCCCCAATCACCACATTAAGGATGCCAATTTCCCTGAAAGGAAGATGAAGAGGGGGCTGAGAGGGAGCAGAGCCATGTGCCACAGCAGCCCAGTAGTTGCCAGACCTCTGCTTGGCAAGGCACAGAGGGAGGAGTGCTTTGGCCCTCGCACACCTTAGGCTGGGGGAATGTCTAGCTGGAGGCTGTTAGGAAGCCTTGGCACGAGCCCAGGCTTCTCCTGAGCACTATGGCAGCCTGGCTGCCTGAGAGGAAAGGGGATGGGAGTAGCAGGTGGTGCTGCTGGCAGGGCAACTGCTGGTGCTGTGGATATGTCCCCATTCCCTGCTCCTCCTTACTTGACCCTGTTAAAGCAGTGGGCTGCTGTGAGGACCCACTCTGTACTGACGAGGAACCCTCCACACATGTGTTTCAGGCGTGGTAACCAGGGGTGTTGGATGCTGACCATCCACGGCCAGGCCCCTGGCTTGGCATCTGCACCACCCACGACACGTGTCATGCTGTCATCATGAGGTATGGAGTCAGACACCATGGGTCGGAGGCCGCAAGTCCATCTGCAAGCAGAAAGTCATTTCCATGCTGCTTCATGGCCTGCTGTGGCTCAGGCTGAAGCTCAGCCCTCTGCCTCCCCACAAGGCCTTGCACGCACAGCAGGCCAGGGAAGGCCATGGGGTGTGTGTCTGTCCGTGCCAGCACCTGGCTGCTGGCAAGGAACTGAGGCTTCCCATGGTGGGTGGGAAGCTGCGGCCTGGCCATGGGGGACAGGTCAGTCCCCTCCAGGGAAGGCCGCAAGCATTGCCATGGCTCCTTCCCTGGGCCTGGGCCCACTTACCCGCAGGTGTCCCATGTCCCGTGCGCCAGCCCGGTCACAGTCAGCAGGACAAAGAGGCCGAGCCAATTCATGTCTGCCAGAGGCACGAGTCAGCTGCAAGCACTGAGAGCTCCGTGCAGCAGCACAGTCACAGCCGCACTGCCCGCAGCAGCTGTGCTGCCCGTGGTGCCTCAGGGCTGATGTCACGGAGAGGTGGGTTCCATGTTCTGGGTACTGTGAGGCTCTGTGGCTCGGGGGTCATGGAGGGCGGAATAACATTGAATCAAAGAACCATAGAATGGTTTGGGGTATAAGGGACCTTGGAGATCCTCTAGGTCTGACCCTCCTGCCATTGGCCGAGAGGGACAGCTTGTACTGGACACTGTTGTTCAGATCCTGGCTCAGAAACTTGTTCTCACGCGCTTTGAGTGATGGGGCATCCACAGCTGCTCTGGGCAACCCATTTTGGTGCCTCCGCAACCTCATAGTCAAGAAGTTCTTCCTAATATCTAATCTAAACCTACTCTCTCTCCTTTTGAAGCCTTTCCCTTTTGTAATTTCTTGTGTTGACCCCAAATAAATAATTACCTGGATTTTATATAGTGCACATCTGTATATAGCCTAATTATCTATTTTTTTAAACTGCATTAAAACCTTTGTTCAGCAGCATATATTCTAATGCAAATCATTATTCTTACTGGAAATGTATTGTTAATTTTGGCTATCAAGTGTTTATCTGTATTTCTTTAGGAACTTTGCTTAAAATTGTCAGATGTTTTTCAAAACATAGTTTTGTTTTCTGTAGCCATCCATATATGTATAATGAATCATTAAAAATTTGGAACTATTGAAGTTATAACAAACACATGAAGAGTTATTGCATACCCAAAGTGTTAATATGAGTTTATATGCACTCAAGACTGTCTTGAAATATCAGGTTATTTGCTGAGTATTCATTGCCTTATTTTATGCTTTCATTGGTATCTTGGTAGTTTTTAACTTGACTTCATGTACAGCAAACCAGACAGAGATATGACAGACTTACACTGTTCACTATTCTCTAATGAGGCAAGTTTTCATAATGTCATGAAAGCTTCACTAAAGAAGCTTTGTCAAACCATGTTGTTAATTTAATTTCTTCCATACTCTTTATTAATTCAGTTGACATTACTAGTGACTGTGCATGTTGCAATTCTAAAATGTCATTAAACAGTTTTGTTTACAGGCTTTATAAGTTTACTTAGAGCGTCTGCAAATTCACCAGCCTCTTGTCCCAACTTTTCCCACACTGTGACCTTGTTTTTGAAGAGGATCCTTCGTATTACTCCACATCATTTAATTCTATGCTTGTTCAGAAAAACAGGATTGAACAACTCTCTATTGAATAATCACAGGATTATTCGTCTGCGTAAATTCAAGTCTAACCTCTGTATTGCCCGAGGAGCCACAGATTTGAAATGTAAACATAAAATGTTCTTGTAGTTGCCAAGGGCAAAATTACTGAGCCCTGATTACTTGTCCTGGGTACAGAGGAAAAGACAGATGGAGTGTCTAGCACTCTCTAATTCAATACCACCTAGCTCACTGGGGGGCCGTGGCATTAGCAGGAAATCTGGGGTCCTGGAAGCAGAAGGCTCTTCATCTTTTTGCCAGGCTTGTGGAAGGGGCTGGGACCGCGTGGCTGCTCAGCACCCAGATAAAGCCACCATGGCCACTGCAGAGTCCCACTGCTGCCACCTCAGGTATATTTTATATAGAATGAATTATTCATTATGACATATTAATAGATGAAAGATCTTAACTAATACAAAAGTTAAAACTACTAGTAGTGTATAGTACAGGGTAATAAAGTGCACTGTATCAAAGCAACTATACTAAAGATACCAAAAAGAAACAATGCCAGGCTCTCTCTCTTCAGGAAGTGTTTTTGTTTGTTCCATGCTGAATACCCTCTTGTGGGTATTGCCTCTTTTGTGCCCTCTTTTATTGGTACTGCATTTATTACAATCTTTTCAGTAAAATTGTGATTCCTGCTAGTGTTTTGCTGCTTGTTGGAAGAGGGTGGAGGAGGAGATGCAGTTCAGTGGGGTTAACTTTCCCGCTAGGTTTTAAACCAGCACATCACTACAACAAAAGAGAACAGCTCAAGACATTAAAAAGTTGTCAGGGTAAATTAAAGCCAATTTCTTTGCATATCTCACAAGAGATTTTCTGGCCTTGATAACCTGTTATAGTCTCTGCCTTTAGGGCAATCCAGCTGGAGGCCATTTGGCATGAAACTTCTGTGAGTAAAAATTTGTTTTTACTTTATCTTAGAAGGTATTTAAGGACCACGTAGAAGACCTAGACCACAAACCAAACTTGCAGAATAACTTGGACTTTCTCAGTTATTTCTGCTTTTCTCAGTTATATCTGCTTTTAGCTACATAAGACACACATTGCTATCTATCACACAAAAGAGTCCTGTGAGAAAACAAGGAAGAGTTCTCATATACATATATATGTGTTTGTGTACACATAAAATGGCTAGTCAAGTAAGATCCATTAAAAATTTGTCAATTCTTATGCATAGGGGAATTTGTATTTCCTCGGGGTCCAGAAAACATCCCTTGGTGTTCTTCCCACACATTCTTTTTTCTCCTTACCTGAAGAGGAGGTTTTGGAGGCTGCAGGTCAGCTGTCAGCATTGTACCAATGTCACTTCACAGCAAATCTCAATCATCATAACTGCTGCTGCCTCTCAGATGCTGCAGTGTTCAAAGAAGGAACAGAAATGGGTTGGCATTAAATCTAAATAAAAGCTTTGTATTTGCAAGAGCCACTGTCCATAAAAGGTGTTTTCTATTCATCGAAGTAACATGGGGGTTTTGGGCTGTGCTGGTTCAATATTAGGTCTAGATGGTAAAATCCAGCTGAGGGAGTTGGGGTTGATTAGCGTGGAAAGAAAGATGTTCAGGGATGATCTCATAGCTCTCTACAGCTACTTGAGAGGAGCTTGTGGAATGGTGGGCGATGGCACTTTTTTCCCAGGCAGCTAGAGACAGGACAAGATTAAACAGCCTAAAGCTGCGCCAAGGGAAGCTTAGGTCGGACGTCGGAGGAAACACGTCCCAGAGGGCGCGATCGCACACCGCAATGGCGCACCCTGGGGGGCGGCGCCCTCAGCGCTGCCCCTCGGCACCGCCCCTTCGGGCCCGCCCTCGTGGCGCATGCGCCGTGTGCGGGGCCGCGCCGGGCCGGAGGGAAGTGGCCGAGCGTTTCCGGGTTGGGCGGTGGTGGCGGCGGTTGTACCGGCAGCGGGAGCATGTCCTGCGTCCTGGTCCCCTTCGCCCACTTCCAGGACCTGGAGTTGGCCCGCGACTTCCTGAGCCCGCACCGCCGCCAGGGCAGCGCCGCGGCTGGCAAGGAGAGCGGTGAGTCCGGCCCCCGGTGCGGGGCTGTGCCCGCGGCCCCCGCGGGGCCCGTCCGGCCGCGGGGCTGTCTGTCTGTCCGTCCCTGCGGGCCCTGCGCTCGCTCGGCGCCGCTGGCGGGGGCCGTGTTATCCGAGTGCTCGGGGTCGCTCCTGTGGCGCAGGGTGGGTGTCTCGCCGTAGCTGCCCCATCTCCACCTGCACAGGCAGACTGTCCTGGCGTCCCCAAGTTTCAGGTGCGCAGCTGCTCGCAGGCGTCACTCCTTATCCCGTAGTGGGGAGGTGAAGTTCTTTGGCTGCTGACCTTGCCTGCCCCAAACTTCAAAAGTTTGTGTGTTTCTTGCTGGGAGTGCGCCTGCCTGAAGGCGCTCTCTTAAAGACAACACACGTTGTGCATGCGAGGCTATCTAGGAGCGCGGAACGTGCTGAAAGTGTACTAAAGGTTTAGCTTGGCAGCTTAAGTTAAAAGACAACGAATCCTAAAGCAGTTACAGCCTGAAGTTGTGGACCAGGTTTATGCTGTGTGAGGCAGTACAGGCTGAGCTGCCTGACGCAGAAGCTGCGTTTTCAACAGATCCATGCCCCGGCTAGAAACCACAAGGAATTAAAACACTGTTTCTTGTATTTGTTATTGCATACTGTGTTAACTGTATATTGTGTGTATATAGATGTAAACTCCCCAAAATACACAAACTGTATCTGGGTGATGTTTTTTGGTTTCTGGCAACAGTAGGGAAGGAAAGTGTTTGAAGAGGTTAATGAGGATGCTTGTAAATAATCCTCACAGCTGTGGACAGAGCTTTAAGAAAAAGCATGGAGATGCTTGTTTTAAAAGTCTAAAGTGCCTGCAGGGGAATTAGAAGAGGGGAGACCATAGGATGGTTTGTGTTTGGACTGACCTTTAAAGTTAATCTAGTTCAACCCCCCTGCCATGGGCAGGGACACTTTTCACCAGACCACGCTGCTCAAAGCCCTATCCAGCCTGTCTTTGGGCACTTCCAGAGATGGGGCATCCACAGCTTCTCTGAGCAACCTGTTCTAGTTCCTCATCTTCTTTATTATTAAGAAATAAAACTTCATAATATATGTTATAAATCCATTCCCCATTTAAAGCCATTGGTCCTTATCCTGTAACTACAGGTCTTGTTAAAAAGATGACACAACAATTGTTAAAAACCTTTAAAAGGACATTATATGTTCAGCTAATTAATTTTGCCACTAAAACTTTTGGTAGAAAACAGTTTTCTGCTGCTGCTTGTTTTGTAACTTCAACAGTTTTTGAAAAATGCATAACAAGTTCCCCATGGCTTTTCTTTTCTATCATTTGTATCTAAAGGAAGGATTCTGAAGCAGAAGGCTTTGGTTAGTATCTCTTGAATTCTAAAGATAAAAGCAGAGGATTGGGATGTATTTGTGTTTCTAAAAGTAGGCGTTGAAAGAAATTAAATTTTTTTTTCACTTATTTGATGATACATGAGTGGTGTTTGTGTAAAAAAACTTGGCTATTTTATTGAAGTGGATTTATTGAGTGGCAGCCATAAAGAGAAAATGTTTAGTATGTTGTAAAACTACCAAAATAATAGAAGCAAAGAAGATGCATGGCTGCTGTTCCATTTTAATGAGTTGGCTCATTAAAAAAATAGTCTTCTGGACTATTTTTATATTTGCTTATTCAGTCATTGA